GCAGTTTAGCCTAAGAAAATCGAAGAAAATCGAAAATTTTTTGGTAGCTTCTATTCGGTAATATACGGTATTCATTTGTTAAAGCAGAAATTTAAATATTAATTATTATAAATAATGGTTTAATATTACATTAACTAATAGACAGTAAGTTTAATTACATATATTGATTTGTTATATTAGAATTTAAATATTGATTATTATAAAATAATATTTAATTAATTACCAGAAAGTAAGTTCGGTTATGTATATTTATTTGTCAAATCAGAATGAAATATTAATGTTAATTATTACGTATTAAATAATATTTTTAATCAATTACATTAACTACCAGAGAGTAAGTTCAGTTACATATATTTATTTGTTAAATCAGAATTTAAATACGTATTAATATTAATTATTATTAAATAATATTTTAATCAATTACATAAACTACTAGGAAGTATGTTCGATTACATATTCATTTGTCAAATAAAAATTTAAATTATTAAATAATATTTTAATCAATTACGTTAGTAAGTTTAATTATGTATATTTATTTGCAAGTTCAATTATATATATTCATTTGTTAAATTAGAATTTAAATATTAATGTTAATTATTAATAATATTTTAATAATTACATTAACTACCAGGAAGTAAGTTCAATTATATATATTCATTTATTTAAATATTAATGTTAATATTATTAAATAATATTTTATTCAATTATATTACTACCAGTTTGTAAGTTTAATTACATATATTTATTTGTTAAATCAGAATTTAAATATCAATTATTATTAAATAATATTTTAATTTTATATTAACTAATAGACGGTAAGTTTAATTACGTATATTAATTTGTTAAATCAGAATTTAAATATTATCATTAATTGCTATTAAATAATACCAGAATGTAAGCTTGATTACATATATTAATTTGTTAAATCTGGATTTAAATATTAATAATAATTATTATTAAATAATATTTTAATCAATTACATTAACTACTAGAATGTAAGTTCATTTGTTAAATAAGAATTTAAATATTAATTATTATTAAATAATATTTTAATCAATTGCATTAACTACCAGTAAGTAAGTTTGATTGCATATATTCATTTGTTAAATATTAACGTTAATTATTATTATCGCTGTTTTCGAAATGTTTGAGAATTGTAATAATTTCAAAAAAAAAAATTTCTTCGAATATCCGAACACTTGAATACTCGATTAGTTTAGAACATTGATCATATTTATCAAAGATTGATTTTAGCTATCTTTATTTAATGATAAATTAAGCAAGTAATTGTTTAATATAATAATTACTATTTTGTAGTTGAAATCGATCAATGTGCTCAATGTTCTAAACTAATCGGGTATTCACAAGAAAATTTTTTTTTAAAAAATATGCTATTCTCAACTATTTCGAAAACAGCGATAAATAATTTTTAAACAATTACATTAACTACGTATGGTGAAATCAGATCATCGTGAAATCTAGGGCCTTAATTTAAAAATATAAGCCCTCACAACCCTAGCAAAACCTACATATATACTCTTTATTATAAACCTTAAATTCAAAAAAAAGCCTAAAAAAATATACCCCAAAAAATTTTAAAAATTGAAATTTCACGATGATCCGGATTTCACGATTATCCACGACAATTATTATTAAATAATATTTTAATCAATTATATTAACTACCAGAAAGTAAGTTCAATTATTATGTATATTCATATGTAGTGACTTGAAACAGTGAGCTATAATCGGTTAACCAACCCGAACCAATAAATTTCGGGTAACCAGTTGAGAAAATTCTTAATTGGTTGATCCGGTATAGCTGGTTGGCATGATTAATATGGCATAAGAAAATGTCAAAATGAGTAGGGAGAGTAAAGGATTCGAAAAGTTCCGACAAGAAAATAAATGAACATAAAGACGAGACAAAAATTTGAGAGAATTTCAAAGATAGTATAGATATTAATATTAACCGGTTGGTAATCGGTTGAATGAAATAATTTGGCTAGGTTAACCGATAAGGAAATTTTTCTCGGTTCAAATCACTATTCATATGTTAAATTAGAATTTAAATATTGATTATTATAAAATAATATTTAATTAATTACCAGAAAGTAAGTTCGGTTATGTATATTTATTTGTTAAATCCGAATTTAAATATTAACGTTAATTTTTATTTAATCAATTATATCAACTACCAGGAAGTAAGTTTGTTTATGTATATTCATTTGTTAAATTTGAATTTAAATATTAAAATTAATTATTATTAAATAATATTTTAATCAATTACATTAACAACCAGTTCGTAAGTTCTATTACGTATATTCATTTGTTAAATCTTAATTATTATTAAATAATTTTTTTAATCAATTACATTAACTGCAGTTTGTAAGTTCGATTACATATTCATTTGTTAAATCAGGATTTAAATGTTAGCGCAAATTATTATTAAATAATATTTTAATCAATTACCAGGAAGTAAGTTCAATTGCATATATTCATTTGTTAAATCAGAATTTAAATATTAACGTTAATTATTATTAAATAATAATTTAATCAATTACATTAACTACAGTTTGTAAGTGCGGTTACGTATATTCATTTGTTAAATCAGTATTTAAACATTAGCGTTTATATTTTAATCAATTACATTAACTACCAGGAAGTAAGTTTGATTATGTATATTCATTTGTTAGATTTGAATTTAAATATTAACATTAATAGTTATGAAATAATATTTTAATCAATTAAAGTAATTACCAGCAAGTGAGTTCGATTACATATATTTATGTGTTAAGTTAGTATTTAAATATTAATTATTATCAAATATTACTTTAATTTACATTAACTAATAGACGGTAAGTTTAATTACGTATATTAATTTGTTAATCATAATTTAAATATAAATATTAATTATTATTAAATAAATATTTTAATTAATTACCAGGGTGTATGTTTGATTATATATATTCGTTTGTTAGATTAAATTTTCATTATTATTTCTATATAATCATTTGATAAATATTTGATAGGTCGATATTGCAGATAGAATCTGATATTGATTCTTTAATAAAGAAGCACAAAGCTGAAGTTAATCATAAAAATCAAAATGGCAAAACAGCTTTACATTGGGCTGCAAAAAGCGGTCTTGCAACTATTGCTGAAATTCTGATAAAAAACAGTGCTCAAGTTGATGCTGTCGATAATCATAACAATACATCTTTATTATTTGCAGCAGAAACAGGTCATAAAAAGGTTATTGATGTTTTAATAATCCATAACGCTAATATTAATCATGCCAATGATAAAGATGAAACAGCTTTACACAAGGCTGCATATCATGGTCATCAACAAATCGTTCAGATTTTGCTTGAAAAAAAGGCTAAAATTAAAGATGTCAGCAAAGATGGTTGGACATCATTACACTTTGCTGCTGCTGCAGGACATATAGGAGTAATTAAAATTTTGCTAGAACATGAACGTGATATTATTAGTGTTAAGGATTATAATAGTAAAATAGCATTATACTTGGCTGCGGAGAATAATCATATAAATATAGTCGAATATTTACTGGAAATAGAAGCTAGCACTGATAAAGATTTTAACAAACAATATTTCAATTATATTTATTTTTCTGCTAAGAAAAAATACGATGTTGTTGTTGATAAGTTATTATTAAGTGAAGAAACTGACAATCATATTATATTACATCATACTGCAGAAAAAGAGGATATTGAAATTATTAAATTTTTGCTAGAACGTGGGGCAAATTTCGATAATATTATTGATAAGAGTTACAGGACACCACTTCACTGGGCCGCATTTGTAGGTGACAAAGAAATGGTAAAATACTTAGCAGAAAAAAATCCCAAGTTGATTAATGCCATTGACCAAAGTAATGAAACAGCATTGTATGAAGCCGTGGTGAATGGGCATACAGAAATTGTAGAACTTTTACTAGATCAAGATGCAAACATTAATTTTAAAAATAAAAATGGTTGGAAACCACTACATATAGCTGCAATTTCTTGTCAAGTTGATGTTTTTAAACTTTTAAAAAGCAAAGAAGTAGACGATTTTCAATTAAAAATTTTTTTTTAACCAATTAGACAATTTTCAATTAAATAATTATTGCAAATTTGAGCTTTACTATTCCACAAAGGGGCTAATTAAGAAGTTTCGAAATTTAGAAAATCAATCCAAACTAAAAGATAATAATGACATCGATTTTATTTCTTTATATCAAATTTTTTTAAAACTTATTGAAAATTTTGCGAAATATGTTAGTGATAAAAATGATAAATATGCACTTAGCTATTTATATACGTGCATACTTAGTAAGATTTGCTACTTCAAATTTGAATTGAAGTCTAATTTAATAATTGATATAAATGGTTATTTTAAAATGATAATAAATCATATTGAATTCTTGAAAGATGAAGAAAGACAACATAAAGCACATGAATATAAAGAAGAAATTAGGATGAAGGTTGAGGAGGCTTATAAGACCGTTAGTAATCAGATTAAAAATGAAATAGATAATATTGTCAATGAAATAAATAAAAAAATAGATTCGCTACTTGATGAGACAAAAATATTAATAGAAAAAGCAGAAGAAAACGAGTCAACTTTAGAAAAAAGGCAGAGTGAATTAAAGAATAAATTAGTATTAAGACAAATATTAGGAATCTTAAAAATTATAGGCCAAACAATAAGTGTTGCGGGTGGTCCTATTGGAGTAGCTGGTGATGCAATAAAAGGAGGAGTCAATATAGCCGAAGCATTTATTTTAGAAAAAAATAATAGTGAGCCAAATTTCAAAATTTCAGCAGATATAAGAGATTCGTTAAACAACATGAAAAAAGTGGTTGAGGATAAAGAAATTAAAAAAGATGAAATAAAATTGCAGAACAACAATTAACAAAACTATCTCAAGTATGTGACAAATATCCAGATTTGCTTAATATTAATATAAAAAAAAATTTAAATAAAATTAAGAACGCTTTAAGTGATATCGATTCTATAAAAATGGTAAAAGAAATTAAAAGTGAATTAGAACAGACGCAAAAAAAGTTAGAAGAGTTAAAGAAAAAACAAATGCAGAATTAGAAGTAATACAGAACCTTAATATTGCAATTACAACTACTGAAATGGCAATTGAATTATACGGCCAAAAAGATAAAGAAGAACTTGATGCATTAAATATCTCGATTGAGCAAGCAGAAGACGATATTAAAAAATTAAAGCGATATAAAGAAAATATTAATAATGCTATTATTCCCATGCTTAAAAGGATGCAAGATGGCATTAATAATATAGAAAACGAAATAGACCAAAAATCTCATGTTTTTCTTGATCTAACTAAATGGCAAGTACAAACTTCATTAAAAGATATCAAATATGAAATTCGGCAAATCTCTAAAGGATTCGATATACAATATGATGTAATTCATTATATGGAAAGGTTGGATGAAGGAATAACTACTCTTATCAATATATATGATCGTATACAAGACTATTATGATCAAGCGAAGCTTGCTAATTATATTGCACATATTTATTCCCCGATAATGACTGAAATAGAGGATGAAGAACTAGACAATGCTATTAACGAATTAAAACGAGAAATAAGAACTAACATTATATTTGGACATTTTAAAAGAGCTACAAGCGCATTCAAGCAATGGGTATTTCCATTTGCAAACATGTCTTCACATAACTTATATTCACTATCAGATGATAATAATAAAGATATTAATAATATTGAACAGCAAATAAAAGATCTAGATCTAAAAGTTAAAGAAAACAAGACAATTACTAATGATAATGATATCCCTTTGATAAATACTGTCTTTAACAATGAAAATAAAACATCACGACCATTTATTGTGTGGAAAAATAAAAATTACAGCCAAGAAATATCAAAGTTGCTAAATGGAGATGAAGTAACTATAAAGGCAGATATAATAAAAAGCGATCCTAGTAAAAATGTAATCAAATTTAATGAGATAGGTATTAGATTCAAATCAATAAATAAGACAATACAAGATAATATTGATCGTGAGATTGAATACTTTGACGTTAAAATGGTTCATTTAGGCAACTCATATTATAGATATGGAGATAAGTACTACATGATAATAAGTAAGAACCAAGAAATTACTTATAGTTTTGAAAAAGAGAAGGATGACAGAAGCAAACCGGTTAGAAGAAATAACGTATATGATAAAATTAAGAAGGAGAACTAATGCTTAGCCCTTATACTATGTGGAAAATAAAACTTAAATCTACTAATAATGCTGATTTTAGTGAACTGAAAAAATACGACAAAGAAGTAGACTTAGAGTTAGTCGGGCATGGATCATATATAGAGCACACGGAAAATAGCAATAATTCGAGTCTCATGGTAGAAAACTACAAAGAATTTGAAATCGATCAAATCGATCTTTCCTTTAAATAGTAGAAATTTATAATTTAAGAGCAAAATAACGTTAGTAGGGATAAAAGGTCAGAGTTTACTGTTTTTGAATTGGAAAAAATTGCAATTCTATTGTTCTTATCATTTAGTTTTATTTGGCATTTATTATCTTATTTCACTTTATTTATATTATATATATTTTTTCTTATTACCGTAAAGTGCCGTATACAAGATCCGGGTCTATTACATTCCACCAATTTTTAAACCATATAGTAGACCCCGGGTCTAGTACACGCTGAGAGGTTATATCATGAAAGGGAAAAATTTAAAGTGCATACACACTTTGTATTTACAATAGGCAGTCTAAGTATTTAAAAAAAGCCATATTTGATTAATATAGATTTTGTGGTTCGTGCCCGGGTCTAATTCATGGTGGATCTATTATTTGGGAGGATCTTGTATACGGCACTTTACGGTATTTGTATTTTTACATTATTTGTTTTTTTTATATTATTTGTATTATTTGTTTTTTTTATGTTATTTCTTTTTTATATTATTTGATTTTTTTTATATTATCATATGTTTTTGAGATTTTTTCCTTAGTTTAAATTAAGGTTTTTTTTATCTTAATGATATATAATAATATGCATACGCATAAATTTAAAATAAAATTCTTCTATAGAACGATTTTAACGCTCACCGGAGGTGAAATTCACCGGGGTGCTGTATCTCAAAAACGTACTAAGTAAATGGGATCGGGTACTCTAAGTAAAAATGTTCAGAACCCCTGAAAACCTCACAAGAACTGAGATCGGGACCTTTTATTAGCTCTATGTTATTTTATATAAAAAAAAATTCTTAATACCCTAACCCTAACCCTAACCTAACTCTAACAATTCTTAGGCTGGTGAATTTCTCCACTGGTTAATTCTAAATTAATTCTCTTCTATAATTTATAAAAATTTTAAACATAATGTAACTACGAGAAGATTTTATGTGAGAATGATACAGAATAAACTACATATCTCTATTCATGTCTAAAAAAGTTCTACCAACACCCACAATCTCTACAGGTTAAAATCTCGACACACATAATCCCGAAAAAGACAAAATCCTGACAAGACAAAATTCCAAAAAAGACAAAATCTCGACAGCAAGGACGGTGAATACTTCCATTAAGAATACTGGAATAGAATGGAATAAAATAATAAATTATAACCAATCAAATCTCGCTATTTATTGCGTAATAATCATAATAATTTTCGGAAATTGAAAATTATTTTGAAAATTAAATTTTTGATTTGCTAAAAAAATTTTTTTTTTGGTGATATTGGAATAAAATGAAATAAAATAGAATAAATGGAATCATTGATGTTAGTATGATAAAAATTTCCAATTTGATAGCGGAAGTATTCCCTGTCCCTGCTCAACAGGGACAAAATCCCGATATTCAAAATACCAAATAACTTAAACCCGAATAGCTTAAACCCAAATAGTTAAAATCCCAAATAGTTAAAATCCTGAATAGCTTACAGCTATTATCATAATGGAATTTCTGTTTTCACCTGGGTTAGAGTCACACACCTATGGGTTACACAAAAATTTCTATTTTTAGTATTTATATATATTTATATAGTAAATTATTAGTTTGTTAAAAATTAAAGAACTTTTAATAAAAAAAACCTTTCTTCTAGCTCTAAGTAAACTTGTAGAAGAGATTTTTCTGGTTCTAATGGTGGTTAAATCATCAAAATCGGCTTGGTGGATCCCAAGATATTTGGGGTTAAAGGTACAAACACAAAGATCTACAAATTCATTGTTACACAAAGTATTCTAGTTTATAATACTTATATTCGGGCCTTTTAACCCAAATTTCTTGGGATCCACCAGGCCAATTTTAATGATCTAACCACCATTAGAACCAGAAATCTCTCATATACTACTTTGCTTAGAGTTAAAAGAAAATTTACTTATTAGCTTTAGGGTTAAAATTAGAATAATTAAAGCTAAAGTTAGTTTTTTAAAATTAAAGAAGTTTTTAATAAGTAAATATTTCTTCCAACTCTAAGTAAAGTTGTAGAGGAGATTTTCTGGTTCTAATAGTGGTTAGATTATTAAAATTGGCCTGGTGGATCCCAAGAAATTTGGGTTAAAAGGCCCGAATATAAGTATTATAAACTATAATACTTTGCGTAACAGTGAATTTGTAGATTTTACCAAGCCGATTTTGATGATTTAACCACCATTAGAACCAGAAAAGTCTCTCGACAAAAAAATTCTGACAATCAAAAATCCCAGCAAATCTCGACAATCAAAAAAAGTGTTTATTAAGCAATTTTACTATATAAAATTATCTATACCCTAATCCTAACCTAGGCGCATACTCTAACTCTAGCCTATACACTTACCTAATCTTACCCTAACTTAAATAAACAATAATTTTTTGTTGTCGGGATTTGTTGGGATTTTTACTGTCAGGATTGTTTTGTCGGGATTATGACCTGTCGGGATACTGTTTGTTAGGATTTTGACCAATACCTAATATATTAGATATGAAATTTAAGACTAATATATATTACAATAAGACTAAATATAGACATGCACTTGTAAATTGTAAATTTCAATTCCTACTCTTTGGCACGATCTATTTTCGCTTAAATGAAGCCTTTATTCATTTCAAATTATTTTCGATGAAAATTTGGTTTTAAAAAATTGTGTAAAATTTCAATTTCTATTCTTTAGCAAAATCCATTTTTGTTCAAATGAACAAAGCATTTATTTATTTCTAATTGTTTTTCATTTTTATTGAAGATGAAAACTTAGTTTTTAAAAAATTGTATAAAATTTCAATTCCCATTCTATGGCAGGATCCATTTTCGTTCAAATGAAACCTTTATTCATTTCTAATTATTTTCAACGAAAATTCATTTGAGCAAAATTATAATTCTTTTTTTTTTTTTTTTTTTTTTTAATATTTAGGTGACCACTTAGGCCCCTGGCACTTTATTAGTTCAAACGGGTGG